ATGTTTTGTTGGTTGGATGGTTGGTTGGATGTTTTGTTGGTTGGATGGTTGGCTGGATGTTTTGTTGGTTGGATGTTTTGTTGGTTGGATGGTTGGCTGGATGTTTTGTTGGTTGGATGTTTTGTTGGATGTAGCCGCCATCTTGTTTTTCCTCCCTGACCTCAGAAAGTTCCCAAACTGAATCGTTTCTCCATCAGATTTCTTTGCTGTGAATTTTTTCGCCTCGTTTCCTGAATGAACCCGTTTGTTTTTATTTTTATTCTTTAAATCTAAAGTTCCGTCTGATTCTCCTAAATCATCTTCTGGGTTTATCTGTGGCTCATGGGGCCACCGCGGGGTCACGCCGAATCTGAACAACAACAACAAGCTGTGATTTAGCTGACTCAGCTGTAATAATCCGCCTTCTCTCCAGGATCTAATTTCCCTCTGAAGTTTTAGATCCGATTCTCTGCTGGATGTTTTTAGAAACCGATGGTTTCGGTGATTCAGCGGCTGAAGTTGCGTGGGCGGTTTGCTTTTGCTGCTGTAGGTGTATGACGACGGCCGCTCGGTGTTCCTGGTGACGGAGCTGATGAAGGGAGGAGAGCTGCTGGATAAGATCCTGAGGCAGAAGTTCTTCTCTGAGCGGGAAGCCAGCGCCGTGCTCTACACCATCACCAAGACCGTGGAGTATCTGCACGTCAACGGGGTAAACGGCTCCGAAGTCCACTTCAGATTCAGATTATTTTCAGCCTCACAACTGATTTGCATTTTTAAAAAATCTTCACATTAACCTGAAAGTATTATTTTTTCTTAAAGAAAATCGATTACAAATAGAAATAATGAAACTTTTAAATGCTAATATTCTTGCTAGGTGCATAAAAAGATAATTTTAAACGTCTGTAAGCTTTCACACATTTAATTGATATTTTATAACAGTAACACAAAGTAATGCAGGACTGGACATTTATTTACAGTTTAACATTTTTATTAAAAATCTGAAAAGTGTGGCGTGCATCAGCATTCCATCTTCCATCTTTAAATTAGTTATAATATTGTATAAAAAAGGCTTAAATAAAAAATCTGCAGAATGTGCCAGATTTTTAAATCGATTAATCATTAGAATAATCGATTAATCGATAACTAAATCATGAGTTTCAGTTCCAGTCTGGACCTGCGATCCGAGCCGACCAACCAGGTGTTTCCTCGTTCTGCAGGTGGTGCACAGGGACCTGAAGCCCAGCAACATCCTGTATGTTGACGAGAGCGGCAACGCCGAGTCCATCCGGATCTGCGACTTCGGTTTCGCCAAACAGCTGAGAGCCGAGAACGGCCTGCTCATGACGCCGTGCTACACCGCCAACTTCGTCGCTCCAGAGGTCCGAGTCACTTCGCTTTACGGCTTTATTAGATTTTCCTTTAAGCATGAAAACAATGTCTGTTTGTTTCCAGTTCATTGGTTTGTAATGTCGTCTCGCAGCAGAGGGAAAACAGGAGTGAAAACATCTGAAAGTTGTTTTTGTCTTGCAGGTGTTGAAGAAGCAGGGATACGACGCAGCCTGTGACATCTGGAGTCTGGGCGTTCTGCTCTACACCATGCTAACAGGGTAGCTTTAGCTTCTCTTCCAACAAACGGTTTATACTTTCAGTTTTATTCAACATAAATATGCAGGTTCATTTTATGTTTTGTACGTTTTTCTCCAGCTTTACTCCTTTTGCTAACGGTCCAGACGACACACCAGAGGAGATTCTGGCTCGGATCGGCAGTGGGAAGTTCTCCCTCACTGGAGGATACTGGAACTCTGTCTCCACCGAAGCAAAGGTCTGAACTCAGGAACAAAGGCTGGGGAAAGAAAGAAACACTAACCAGGGTTCAGCTAAAGGCGGCTTGTTCTGTCTGGCAGGATCTGGTGTCTAAGATGCTGCATGTAGATCCTCATCAGCGACTGACGGCGGCTCAAGTCCTCAGACATCCCTGGGTGATGCACCGAGAGCAGCTGCCCAAATACACCCTGAACAGGCAGGATGCACCACACCTGGTCAAGGTAGCCACCAGTTCATCTGTTCATCCATTAACCAATCCATCCATCCATCCATCCATTAACCAATCCATCCATCCATCCATTCATTAACCAATCCATCCATCCATCAGTTCATCTGTTCATCCATTAACCAATCCATCCATCCATTCATTCATTAACCAATCCATCCATCCATTCATCCCTCCCTCCCTCCCTCCCTCCATCCATCTTTGTAATGTTTTCAGATTTCTGGATAATTTTCCTCCTGGGTGTAACGATCCTTTCTGACAGAAAACCTGGAAACTTGTCTTGGTGTTGAGGAGAAACTGCCCTGCATCACATCAGGAGATTTAATCCGTATCAGATTGACCGTATCTCTGTGACTTCCTGTCTCCAGGGCGCCATGGCCGCCACCTACTCGGCCCTGAACCGGAACGTTCCCCCGGTCCTGGAGCCGGTGGGCTGCTCCACTCTGGCCCAGCGGAGGGGGGTGAAGAAGATCACCTCCACCGCTCTTTGACTTCCTCCTCCTTCTCTTCCTCCTGTCAACTCTGACCTCGATCTGATCGCCTCCGGACCTCCCCGCGGTCCGGTCTGGTAGGACAGACTACTGATGGACCTGAGAGCCGCTTACGCCAAATAGAAGCACACCCCGTCTCCGCCCCGCCCTGCACCTTACCGGGTTCTCCTGACTCCCAGCTTTAGCATCACCAATCAACACAAACACAAACCGTGGACCCGTGGACCCGTGGAACCGGCCTCTGCTTCGGACAATCAGCGCTTCCTCGCCACTGCGAGGCTGCGTCAGGAAAACAAGAGTATTTATTAACCTCAGACGGGGAAATCATAGGAACAAGGTAAGGTAGGCGTTCTGAAGAGCTAGGATCTTTGTTATCTGTGTAGTTGTAGATTCTGCATTTAAACCTCAAGTAGCCTCTGAGACGGACAGAAGTCCAGATCAGCTCAGGAAGCAGCCGCCTGGGACTGTCGCTGCTCGCCTTTTAAAGGGAAACCAACGTCTCACTAAGATCCGTTCTGTTGGGAAAACTTTTCTTTTTCCACTTTTTCATCTTTAGGAACAAAACAGCAAAATGTTTCAAACATTCACCACCGAAACCTTCGTTTCCGCCAACATTTATCCAAAAACCAACATGGAAAATACTCTGGAATCAAACTGTGAACGACTTAAATCTGCAAAAAGAGTTTTCTGACATTATGCTGCCCCCTAGTGACCACAACAGGTATAACAAGCCATTTTTCGCCTCTGTTATTTTGTCTACTTCATTTTTTTCGTTTTTGGAATAAGATAAATTTATATTTGACACCCAACATCATGAACATTTTTGGTTACTATCTAACCTGATCAGAAACAGATTTATGCAGATTAGGGAGCAACTAAATCTGTGGTGTTCAGTTTTTCTCCTTTAGTTTTTGGAAATAAAAATGAAGTTAAAATTTCAGTGATGTCAGAAAAAATAAGTTGCTATTTTTCCCTCAATACTAAAAAACATTATATGTAAAATAAATATAAACTTGTAGTAATGTTTGCAATAACGTTTGGTAGTAAAATAGACGATGTTTATGTACATTTATTGTAAAAATACAGATGTTTCCTGATGTGTCTCCATGTGAAGCAGTGAGAAACCCGGCGCTGTTGGACCTCTGCTGCTCAGCCACATTTTACATCAGAAACATCGTTTAAAGTTTAAGCACTCGACTCCATTAGCATTTTGATACATTTATACTTTTTACAAGGTTTTATTTTGAGTTTGATGAACTTTTTAGAGTTTTTAACCTCAGAAAGTTTAACTGTGTGATGATGATACGCACTTTAGATTTTGACCTTTTTTTCTATTTAAATAATTTCCTGGCACAGTTTCATCTCTACAGTTAAAATTTATACATCAAAACGTTGGTATTTCTGTCCTCTTCGACCCGATGTGTCTCTCACTGCTGTAGCACTTTTGGTTTGCAGTCAAATCACCTCAGAGTTCAGAGTTCACACACACAACTGAATTCACCCCCACTGTATTTCCTCTATCGAAATTATCATTGAAGAGCCTCTTTTAGCCGCCATATCTCCATATAAATCGCTGTAGACGTATAAAGTTTCTCACGTTATGCTTTTCACGGTTTAATGATTATTCAATACAACTTACGGTTTTTGCACAGCAACTGTTTGCTTGAATCTTAAACTCCTGGTTATTTTTCTGTCTTTCACCCCAGAAAAGGCGGGAATCACCATGGCAACCTGTTATTTTTTTGTTTTGTTTTTCCAGAATGGCTGCCCAAGTTGCCACTAGAATAAGCATTTGTTAGGCCTTGGGAGACTGAACAGGAGGAAATCTGAGCACCACTGATTTAAATCCCCTCCCAGATTAATAATTCAGGAACCGTTTCAGGATCTGAAAGCGGCTTCAAGCATTTCCTGTCCGCCATCTTTAGATGGTGTAGAGCCGCCTGCTTCCTCACGGCGCCGCCTGAAGCTGGATTTCTGCCTCAGTACCAGCCGTCGGTGCAGCAGAACTGTAAATATGAACATGTTGGGCAACTCAGGTTTCTACGAATCAAGACGATGCATTTTTGTAGGAGGAGGAGGTGAAAAAGCACAGGAACACGAGCAACACAGGCGAACAAAAGGCTCCTAATATCAGACGTTAAACATTTTACACGTCCAGTTTTCTTTCCAGATTTCTGTTTTCCTCTCAGTCTTAAAAAAGCGACCTCTAGAGGGTCTGGAGGTTTTGTTTTGAAATCGAACTCTTCCGTTGTTGGTGTTGCGTTCCTGTGATCTGTGTTCAGCATTTATGCCTGATGATGATGATGATGATGATGATCTGGCAGCAAACCCTTTAAAAACTGAGCAGAAAACATTAAAAACATTCCAGCTGTTGGCTTCACCCTGGAGGTCTAATAGTTAGCAAGATGCTAATGTTTAGCATCATGCTAACTATTAGCATCATGCTTGATCTGTAGATTCAACAGAAAACTAATTTATGCAACAATTTTTCCAGAAAATAAATCCACCCTAAACAGAAGCTGAATTACACTCCTCCAGCTGAGCCACCAGGGGGCGCTGCATTCATTTAAATTCTTTGACCAAATTATTCAGCTTCTCTTCAGTGAAATTAATCCATGTGTGAGTTTGCTTCTGGTGCAAAACGACGGAGTGAAAGTGTGAAAAGTCAGAAACTGTAAACCTGACGACCTCGGAGGCCCATTTTCACCGGCGCTGAAATAAAAAATAAAACATGTCAGATAAACGTCTGAATCATAAACGAGTCGTTTTCTGGATAAATCAAATTTGATCAATTAAAACAAGCATTTCCTTACAGAAGTAATAACATAAAACTATTTTTGATTTCAAATCAGAATTTTATATGTATAGCACATTTCAGCAACAAAGCATTTAAAGTGCTTTACATGACAAAAAAATGATCATAAATGTCATCTTTTTAAATAGTTTTGCCCTTTTCTTCAGTAATGACTCTAAGTCCACATTTAGACTCTAAAGATACTTTGTGAGTTTTATTTGCTCTCCATGTTTTTGTTTTAACTGGTGAAATCGGGCCTCCACTGACGTCTGCGACTGAGTTTTTAAAAGCAAAAATAAATTTCTTCACAGCAGAAATCCCACTTCTGTTGTCGTGGAAACATTAAAAACTTTCTGTAGTCGTCTGAATGTCATCTTAAAGGGATAAACTTCAGAGTTTCTTTATGTTTTATATATAACTATTGATTTATGTTGAATTTTGTTCATTCTTCTGTCAATGTACAGCTCTGGGATAAAGAGAGATAAATAAAATGACCTTTTCCGTAATTATAAACAGAGAAATAGCTTTTTTCTCTTCATCTCACTCTTCCTCTTTTCGTCTGATTCTGTCAGAGATGTATTCAGCCCTGCTGCTACGCCAGCTCTCTGTTTTTGTACCTGCAGAGTTGGACTTTCTATGAAAAACAATAAAAAACAATAATCGATAAAATGCCTTTGCTTTTTATTGATCAAAATGAAGCCAGGAGGATATGTCAGAACTATAAAATTATTTTCTATTTTGCATTTTCTTTTTTCACTGATTAAAAATCCTGAAAAAGAAGTTTTATGAAACACATTTCATCATAAATGTTTTTAAACTACCCATTTCCAGCTGTTTATCAGACAAAAATAGTCACAAAAATAAGTATAATTTAAGTTGCTTATAGATTAGCTAAATGTTTTTATAGGGGTTGTGCGTATTAGTCATGAGAAGTGATCATCTGACCTGCAGTAGCCAGATATTTTTCAGTTTGGAAAATCCAGATATTTAAAGGAGAAGTCGAGCAAACTTTAAGCTTTTATTTTTCTTTTAGCTGTAGGTATTTGGCAATTATCTCAAGAAGCTGTTGGTTGCAATTTTTTCCAAGTTGAAAGCACTTAGCTTTACCAATGGCTGTTAGCAAAGCTATTAGCCTTTTGCTAATAGCGTTGTAGTTATCTCATTAGTTATTAGTTGTTAGATGTGAAATTGATTCTTCCAAGTCCTTTCTATATTTTTTTTATATAAATTGATTTGTTGGATATATTTATATGTTGATATATATCTGTTTGTCCCTGGTTAACTCCTTTATTCTTTTTCCTGTTCTGATAAGTTTGCCATTCCCAAGATGGCGGCCTGGCTCTCGTATTTACCCTATCAAACTAAGCTGCGTCACGGTTTTCAATAAAGCACTGCAGTTTTGAACGCGCTGTCCTGCGCTTGCGCACACAGACAGAACCTCAGCGCTAAGCAAGTAGCTTCTGGCTCCGTTCAGTTCGGTTTAAATCTGATCCTGTCTGACGTTTGTAAACATCCACCAGCCGCCAGTTGTACCGAGGAGGGTTGAAGCGAACCTGGTGTAAAGGAATATGCCCAAAAATAAAGGTAAGGGGCCGAAAATGGACGCATTTACTGCTCTGCGGTAGTTTAGCCCGCCGTGTGGAAAACGTGACCCGGGCCGGCTAACTCCGTTAGCAGCAGGTATCGGTGAGCGCTATTGATCATCCACAGGGATTCTTGCTTAAAATAAACTCTGAATATTCACATGAATTAAGTTTATTTAAGTCTTTTGATGCTGTTTGACATTTAGAGACGGTTAGCTCGTAGCTAGCTAGCTGACACAGCTAATCTCCACCCCGGTCTGGCCTTCTGACATCTGTCCACTAATTTATCTAAATTTACCTAATAACAGACGTCTGCTTCAACATATGTTACTAAAATAATGTAAAGGTTTTATTTGAGCTTCCAATTGAGTTTTATATGAGCTAATCAGTTCGAGAGAATCATTATCTGCTGATTAGCGTTACAGAAGCAAATTTAAGCTTCGGCTTCTGTGATTTTTAATAAGTTTAAACGGCAAAACTCCCATTTAACTTTGACTGTTAAGTTTAAACAACCAAAAATAACCAGATGTCTTTATTTTACTTCTGTAGAGTCAAAGTTTACCTCATAAAGTTGGTTTATGATCAGTAGTTTTTTAGAAAACATGTTTATTGTAGTTAATTTTCAAATTCAATTAAAAAATTATTGATGAAAAAGTAAATTAAATGTTGTTGTAACTCATGTTATCCGAGGTTCAAAAAGTTGTTATAGATGCTGTAGAAAGGAAGGGTCTCCTGTAGCAGTCTGTAGTACAGCGGCTCTGGTTAAGCCTCTGACTGAAGACGCTGTCAGAGGCAGTCCCATGAAGACACAGCTCAGGGTTCATCATTTGAAATGTTCTGTTTTGTCTCATCAGTTTTAATTATAAAGAGCTTTAGATCGTATATTTTAGTTGGTTAAATGTTAAAATGTTTTCTTCTAAAATAATGGACAAGAAAAGACAAAAGATGATGAATCGACAGTCTGACACGGCTAAAAGTATTTATCCAAATTCTGTTCATAATAATCAGAATAATTCTGAAAAACAAAACAAAAAATAAACTGTGTATTGAAATATGTTTGTACGTTTGCAGACTTTATTTATTACTTTAAATGTAAAAATAGAATTAAGATTTAAACAGCATCCTTTTATCATTCTCACATAATCTGGGTTTCAGTTTTCATTTGACCGTTATATTGTTAATCCACTCACTCATTTGACCATAAAAAGGCAGAATTTGCTGCTTTTTGGCCCTCTGGGCCCTCCATAGATTAGAGATGTAACTCAAAGCGCCTGTTTTTATTTTTACACATCAGAGTAGGATTGGTTTCCTGTGTGAATTTGTTGTGTCCACAATCAATATCTGATTGTGGATATAAGATGGAGACCTTTAGAAAGGTCTCTGTCCTGACCTTTCTAAAGGTGAAAGGTCAGGACAGAGTCAGAGATGGAAATGTCTGATGCAGCTTTCTGGACTCCTTGTCTGAAGAAGTTTATTAAATCCCATAATAAACAGACATGAATAACTCAGAACGTAACAAACAGGTTTCATCTTGTTTCCTGCAGGTTGTGTCATTTGCTTTCATCCCAGTTTAATCCCAGTTTAATCCCAGTTTAATCCCAGTTCAGCTTCATTTACTCTGTGAAGCATAAAGAGGCCAAAATAACTCGCAGGCCAAAAGAACCAACAAAATACTGACTTTGTTTCAGCCACTCCACAATAAGTTAAGTTGTAATACTTTAATTAAATGAGTAAATTCATCTTTTTGTGTGTTAGAAACAGATGTAAATTAGATCCAAGCATTAAAGTAATTTTACAGATTTGCCTTGGTAAAACTAAGGTGTGAATTTTTAAAGACTGACTGAAAATAATAAAACATTTTTGGTCAAATCTGAGCAACAAAAACAAGATTTAGTTCACTTTTATTAAAACAATATACACCAGGCTTAATAACTTGTATTATGTTGAATTTGAGTTGTGGGCCACACAAAGTCAGTCCAGGGGCCACAAATGGCCCACGGGCCACACTTTGCTTTACCTTTATCCTCAGAAAACAAACTAACTAACTTAACTTGTTCCTAAAATTCTATCAGAGACTTGACCTGAATTCAAACTCTAAATATACAGAAGATGTAAAACAAGATGGCCGCCCTGACGTCACTCCAAAAAAATCCAGATTTTCCAGAAATGAAATCTTCAAAAACCAAAAATTAGGATTCATTTCCCATCCATATATAAAACCTTTTCCTTCTACAGTTTTCTATCCAGTCATATTTTGGTTTCTGTAAACTTTGTCAAATTTCAACAAAACTTTACAGAAATAATCAGCTGCAGAGAAGATGAGACACAAGATCATCTATAAAAACTTTATCTTATTGATATTAAATTAAAAACATGAGTCAAAGAATGTGTTGATTTTTGGTGCATTTACAGACTGAATAAATGTGGGATTTTTCAGTTTTGATGCATTTTAATGAAGAAAAATGAGTTTTAATGTTCCAGTTTTGGATTCAGCTGACCAGCAGGAAGCTGCGTTCAGGTTTACGGTGAGAGACGTTGATGGCTTCCCGCTCTGCCTGCAGGTAAAGGAGGAAAGAACCGGCGACGTGGAAAGAACGAGAATGAGTCTGAGAAGAGAGAGCTGGTGTTCAAGGAGGACGGGCAGGGTGAGTTCTGCTGATCCAAACGGCCAGAACCGCAACCAGAGAGAGCTTTAATAATTGATCGTGATTAACCACGATCAACTGTTTCAGTCCTATTTTTTAAAGTAACTTATTGTCTTTGAATGCGTTGCACATCAATAAAGTCTTACAGTCTGAAGATGGCAAAACATTTTTTGAAAACGTGAATACAGTGTCAGTTTTTGATATGGGCGGGTGCCCAGGGTGATATCAGAAAGGGGCGAGGCACCCAAGAAGTAGAAAATAAAATATTACTGGGAGACAACATTTAAACATTTTTAAATTATTACATTTTACTGGATGATAAATTCTCAGAAATTATTGCAATAAATACTTTTATTTTGAGACCATTTTCATAGGATACAATAATAATGACAATATGCCTGTAAAACCTATCACGATATAATCGTTTCATATCAGTCAGCATCAATAATTATTGATCAGTTTTTTTGACTGCTGGGTTGATCTTTGCTGTTTTATCCAGTTTTTATTCCACTTTGGTTTTTATTTTTAAGCCATTATGAAGCAAAACTTGAAACTGCAGAAGTTACTCAGCAGGTCGTTGCTAGGCAACCACAGTGGGGAGAACTTCTGCTTGCCACCCAGCAGGTTGTTGCTAGGCAACCAGAGTGAGTTAGTTAGTAGATTCCACTGTGAGGAATCTGCTGAATATCCTGACCGTTTTATTACCTACTGATATTGATTATGTGTCCATCATGATGTATATTGTTGATTTATTGTTCAGCCCTATTATAATGGCGTAACAATGCAAGGTTTCCCTCTTAAAGATCAATAGTTTTAACTTTGAACAGTAAACTTAATGCTGGAACTGGAAGACATTTTAAATATCCAAAATAAACAAAGCAACAAAAAACAAGAAACAAAAACCAAACGCAGCCAAAACCAGAAAAGGAATGAGTTATAAAGTCGTGGTAAATAAAATAGTCCTTTTTAATTTCTTATGATTTACAGTATTACTGAGGTTTTTAATCTATAAACAGTTTATTTTAGTGTTTTTTCAGCCTGGGGCCCACCAGGCTTTATACATGTTTTTCTAAAGTTTTCCATTTTTGAGACTTTCCAGTTGGTGTTTAGGTATTTTTAATATTGTCTTTATAAATAAACACATAGTGATGATTTCAAGCTTCCTGTTAACTTTAAAACCTGGTGGGGTGACGGGCCGCCAGGGCGACCGGGCGCCTGGCGACTGACCTAGCACCACCGGCGTTAGCAAAACGGAGCCATTTCCTGCTTCCTGTAGTTTTAACGGGTTTGAAACATCCCATGACTTGTTGCTCGTCTCTTCCAGAATACGCTCAGGTGATCAAGATGCTGGGGAACGGCCGCCTGGAGGCCATGTGCTTCGACGGCACCAAGCGGCTCTGCCACATCAGAGGAAAACTCCGGAAAAAGGTAGGAGAAACGCCGAGTCGGCACTGCGGCAGGCCGATTGTGTAGAGGTCACGGAGGTCGTGTGACCTCCTCTGACCCCGGCTGACCTCTTTGTTTCCGTCCTCCAGGTCTGGATAAACACGTCTGACATCATCCTGGTGGGGTTGAGGGATTACCAGGTGAGCAACTGGGACCAGTTTGACTTCACTGACTGGTTTTCTCTCTGTTCACTACAGCTAGTCAATAATCAATAATCTGTTTCAGTCATCAGATTTATGGTTTTGATTTTATTCCCTCAGTGCTCTCCTCGGGTTTCTGTAGTTTAGTGATGTCAGGGCGGCCATCTTGTTTTACAGCTTGTTTATTTGGACTCTGAATTCAGGTCAACTTTACGACAAAGTGCAAGACTGGGATTTATTTTATACTTAATAGAAGAATACAGTTTGACAACAGTCAGAATTAAACCAGAATAAAGACTTAATATTAGGAGAATAAAGTATATTTAAATTTGAGAACTTTGACTTTAAAAGTAAAACATTAAAATGGCTAATGTCGAGCATTTTGTGAAGTTATAATTTGGTACAAGTTTTATAAATGAATAAACATTTAATGTTTAACACATTAGCATCAAATTATTATCAGTCGTAGAAGTTTGAAACTTTTGCACAAAAAATCAAGTTACATCCTGATAATAGAAACTTTTTTTCCCATTAAAACAACTTTTCTTCTGGTAAAATTGCATCTTTATTCTGATTTTGTGACTTCGCTCTTATAATTAAACAAACATCCCTAATAATCTGTCATTCAGCTCTCAGGGGCGAAGAAAAAAATCACTTTTTGAAATTTTATTCTGTCATTTGTAACTTCTTTAGGAAATAAAATAATTAAAGTCATATCTGGTATAAAAACATGAGATTTTCTGTTCCTTACCGGATCAGAACCGTTTAACAGCTTAGATTTTTTTCTTTAGGACAACAAAGCCGACGTGATCCTGAAGTACAACGCCGACGAGGCTCGGAGTTTGAAGGCTTACGGAGAACTTCCAGAACACGGTGAGTTTAAAGTGGGTCATCAGTGGAACCGGTTCTGTAAAAGAACTGGTCCTCAGTGGTTCAGTTGGTTGGAATCGTTGAGACGTTTTAAATGTCTGTTGGGTTAGAAAGATGCTGGAGTAGGGGATTAATCCCTCTGGTTCTGACTGAAACCAGAGGGATTAATTGTCCAAACATTGAAAGATTAAGCAGATAAAAAGCTGATCTGCAGCCAGACTAAAATATTCTGACTTTTTCTTCCTCACAGCTAAAATCAACGAGACGGACACCTTCGGACCCGGAGACGACGACGAGATCCAGTTCGACGACATCGGTGACGACGATGAAGATATCGATGATGTAAGCTCAGCGTTACTCACATTTCACATAGTTTAATTTTAAAAAGTGAGGGTTTATTGTTCTGCTCTGAAGTTAAACAGGTTTAGCTTCCAGCTGATGATCCGTTTCTCTGTCATGTTGCAGATCTAAAACGCTGCGGCTGAAGGAGGAAGGCAGGATTTTACTACAGAAGCTCCGATTGGGATGTTTTGAGCCGATTCTGCAAATAATCACCATTTTTTATTATTATTAATATTAAAGATGAGCCTATGACAGTCCAAACCGGTTTATTAATGTTCTGTGTGGTTACTCCATCGGTCGTTTTGGTTCTGGATGGAAGTGAGGCGGGACGACGGAGCGTTTCCGGTCTCCTTCTCAAAACTGTTTTGTTTTGTTGACATTCTCTCTCCTAACACGCCATCTTTTTTTTTTTATTAAAAGAAAATGTATTTATGATTAATTTCACAGCATGTGGGATTTAGAAACTGAACCGAATGTGTCGGTTTGCTGATAAAGTGCTGAGTCGGCGGAACCGGACGGGTTCTGGACTGAACCATGAAGGTGATCCCTCCTTAGTCTGTCGTTTCTTTTCTGTTTCCTGTCCCGAAGTCGTCGGCTCGCTTTGCGGTGAAACCAGAGGTTCCCAACGTTCCCAGTCCACTCAGAGCTTATCTTTCACACACCTCAGATTATATTAGAGCTTATAGCAGATTATTTTTATTTCCTGTCTGCGCTTTGGGAGCCTCTGCTCTGTCCCACATGGATGCAGATGTGCGATGTTGTTTTGCCAGGTTTCCAATAAAGATCTCAACTCCTCTCACCCGGTGTGGCGGTTTCTCACTTCCTGATGGTGGCGCCACTGAGCTCAGAGGGAGAGCAGATAATATGGGAATTCATGCATCTTTTCCCTTCCTACAATTAAATATCTTTTTAAAAATTGCATTCTAACATCAAATGTTTTTATAATCCATAAATTACAAAATGAACATTAATTATTTTACAACGCAGTGTAAATGGAAGAAAATTCTGAGATATAAAGTCAGTAAAGAATAAAGATGAAATGAAGTGAAAGCGTAACATAAATTTGTATAGCGGAGAGAATGTAATAATGCAAATAAAGTCGTAAGACCAGAAAAACGCCAAGAAGTTGCAATAAAACGGAGAAAATGAAGCCATAAAAACACGAAAGTTTCCAAGAATAAAGTAACTTCATGAGAACTTTAAGTTTTATAGACCAGGAAATCTTAGCATGAGAAGCAGAACTTTGAATTTAAATTTCTGGAGTTTGACTCAAACTCCCAGAATAATCGTAGACAAATGAGTCTGGTTTGTTTTGATCCGGTATAATCTGCTAATCTGTTCAGATTATAAATCCTAATTACAATGAAGAAAGAATAAAAACAAGAATCCAAGATTTTTGACGCCTATTTTATTAAAAATAACTTTCTAAAGATGCTGGGGAATCTCTAGATATAATCTCTAAACCTCAAAACAAAAAAAGAATAAAGGAGAAGATAGACGTAGAAGAGCTAGAACATGAACAGAGCCGTCTGCAGTTCAGTTAGATGCTGATGGAAACAGGAAGTACTTCCTCTGACTTCCTGCTGACCTCCATGTTTACACGGAGTCGTTCTTCAGAACCTGATCACCAGTTTGGACCTGAAAACAAGAACCAGTTAAAATGTTTCCAGGCTGCATCAGATCAAACAATAATTCATCACTTTATTAATATTTTACCAGAAAAAGTAAAGATATTGATATAATTATTCTGCTGATAAGTCCAACAGGAATATTTTTGCTAAATTTTCTACAAATTAAAACTAAATGTCCTGTTGCACTGAAACACTTTTATTGCCTCGTTATGAACATTTATTGGTGTTAAATAAATAATAGTTTTCAGTTAAATGAAAAAAATACATTTAAAATTTCAGTAATTATTCATTTTTTAGCTGTAAATACAAGTTTCACCACAAACAGAAAAATAAAAAAACCATTAAAAAATCTTTTGTCCATTAAATGTAAGAAATGAATAGTTTCTGAGCGTTTATCATATATTTCTAATTTATTGTGAAGAAAATAAATCCATTGTTTATTGTTTTTACAACAGCATCAGTAAAAATCAGTAAATTAAAATGAGCCTAAATGGAAATTGGTGTCCTGCAGATGCCTGTTTAAAAAGGTTTAGGAAGTTTTCAGAAATCAATTTGGTTTTTGGTGTCACTTATTGCCATCACATTAAATACAACAAAATTAAAACATACTCAAACAAATGGTTATATAAATATATGTGATGGTATTTGAGTTGTGAATGTTAGAAAAAATTATTAATATTTATATATAAAGTAATTAATTGGATTAATAGTGATAATTATTCTTCAATTAATTCAGTAATCAATCATTAACTGCAGTGTAGAGACTCAGAAAAAGGCAATTTACTAATTAAAAACATTTTCAGAGCTGCAATTAAGCCAAAACTCTAAAATAAAAATAGATTTTGCATTTAAGATAAAAAAAATGTTTCAGCTAAAACTCCTCAAGTGGCCATTTCATCTTCATCTGATTAATATTCACTAATGTTATTTTATATTACTACATTAGTGGCAATAAAATGTTTATTTTCTAGTTTAAAAAAGTAATTTAATCTGTTTCTTTACATCTTTTAAATGTCTTAAGTGGCTAAATTAAAAATCTGCAGAATTCACCAATTTCTATTATCCAATGAATCAATTAATCACCGTTATATCGGTGTGTTTACCGGACTCCGAAGTTAAAAACATCGGCCGATACCGATATGTTAACGCCGATAAATCGTGTTTTAAGGTGACGCTACCTGCCGGGTTGCTGTGCAGGTTCTGCCTCTGGTTTCCAAAGTGATGATTTCTGCGCTGCGTTGCCATGTTGGGTCGGTGAAACGCTCCCCTCCTGGAACCCTGCAGCACAACACAACCATGTTGGCGGTTTCTACTTCCTGTGAGGAGCGGCTGACTTCCTGTGGGCCTCACCATGCTGCCGTCTCTCCTGCGGTTCTGCTCTGTGGGCCAGAACCCGTCCGGGTCCATCGGCGGCGTCAGGTCTGGCTCGCTGAAACAAACAAGCGTTAGCCATGTGTTTTCATCCTGGTTACAGTTTCCCAGTATGAACTGACCACTGGGAACGCTGGGAGAAGCTGCTGCCAGCGATGGTGACCTTCACCGCCTCCAGCTTCTCCTGACGCCGCCGCTCAAGGTCGTGCCTGAGGTCGCCTGGACCTCGCTGCGGCTGCTTGTTCACTTCCTGTCAGTGGACGAACCGTGTGTTAGAGACCAGTAATCGTCACCAGTTTAACCAGTTTCACCAGCTTCATGCCCACCTGCATGGATCCCAGTCTGAAGAAGAGCGGCTCGTCATCCTCATCATCCAGAATAGAGTCCATGTTCAGACTGAAGCCTCTGGAACCAGAACAAAACGTTACGCCGTCGCATCAGCAGCCAGGACAGGTCTGAACTGGAAGTGATCTGCCGCCATCTTGGTAGGCAAAGGCAGCAAAGCATAGCTGAACCACAAGGCTTACAGAAACAACAAATACTGACGCTAACGACCAATATGGAAGAGAAATATATATCAACAAAATGGCTGCCGTTGGGATTGACCCCGGAATGACATGAAGAATCCTGACAACATGGAAGAGCTTCACAGCCTGAAATCCTCGGACACATAAATGCTCAAACGAATTTGTAAAGGACCTACGAACTCTTGGTGTGAATAACTGGCACATAAGCTAACATGTCCGTCTTAGCTAGCAGATAAAAGCTACATTAGCTAAGCTACGTTTGCTAACTCACAGCAAGTACTGCAGTAAATATCACTGATATTTCTCTTAGTACTACACAGAGGTGGGTAGAGTACTCATGTAGCTGTCATGAATTTATTCTGTTTATAAGTTAGACAGGAACGAGGCGAGAGCTAGTTCTAATCTTCTGGGTTGTTTATTGTTGTCATAGCAACTGCCTACCAAGATGGCTGTCAGTTACAAAGTTCCTGGAAGTGTGACGTGACGGGAGAGCGAGGTCATGTGACCCGACCTGTTGGAGCTGAACCTCTGGTGCAGCGTCAGCTCCTCCAGCTCGTCTTCAGCGTAGCCTCCTTTCTGAGGCGCAGAGAAGCGCTCGGTGAGGGTGACCCCGTCACCCCGGAAGTACTGCTCTGTGGAGACAGGAAGTGACACGTTAGACTTAGAACAACATGGACTTCACTGTATACAAGGCTGGGTATCGCCAAAAACATAATTTGAGTCAATGAAAGCGTAACTCCGCCCCACCAAAATAAAAAACTTCTGCAAAGTGGGCGGAGCCAATAGACTAAGGGGCGTGGCCGAAAGTTGGGTTTCACCAAGTCAACTTTAAAACTTTTAAGGACCATTATGAATGGAAATTAAATGAGATGAGAGGTTAAAATAGGTCAATACAAAACATGTTCAGTACATTTTTCCAACAAAATCATTCTTAGATGATGAGATTTCAGCCTAATTTGAGAATGAGCAGCTTATTTAAATCCAAATAAGCTGCTGCTGGCCACGCCCCCCAACTCTACATCTACACTCATGCATGAAAATGGCTCCAAACAGATAAGCAATTATACAACTGCACATCTTTGAAAAGCAAAAATGGAGCCTCCTGCACAACCAGCAAGAATGCAGCAAGTGGTTGCTGCGTTCTTGTTGACTTTTTGTTGCAAGTCCACAATAAAACATCTTTTCCAGCAGTCATTGTACAGCCCATACAGCAGTAAAACCAGCTCACCAAATGGGTTGCAGCTCACTTGGGTTGCTTGGTAACCCAACTTAGCTATGGTTGCTAGGTAACAACTTAGCTACAGTGGCTAGGTAACAGCGCAGTGCCTGCTGATTTGTGACGTTACTTTCCAGAAATTGTCAAATTGGCTCATTTTCCAGACGCCAAAAAACATGAACTTATTTCCCAAAACCAGTTTGATGTTTTGTTTTAAGAGCTTGGTCTGTTTTTAGAAGCAGTAGAAACCAAAACAGAAGTACAGAAAGGTGGAAAATGTGAATTTTCCTCAATAATTTTCATTGAAAAGCTGCTTTCCCCCTAAATATTCAGGTTATCTGATCCTATAAAGTATTTAATGCACATTAACCTTTGACAAAGTGCACCAGCGTGATGATCTCCTGTGCAAAAGTCCCGGTGTGCGTGGCGTTCTCCCGGTACGTCCCCGAGTGCTCCAGCAGGGGCAGGAAGTCGAGGCGCTGGCGGCCCACGTTGACCAGGTCCAGAGACAGCTGCCGGT